TAGAAATTGTTAACTTACGATTATTTTACATTGAGATCGATCATGGAAAACCAAGCGTGAAAATTTGTAATTAACAAGCATTTTTCATATTTATCACTTCGTCTTAAGATAAGCCAGTCATTCGCACATTGATTTATACAAAGAGTCGGCATTCTTGGAGTGGCAACATGATGACACTCAAGTGCGTTGTAGATGGATTTCCCCAACCACACGTCACGTGGTACAAACCCAGTAGTCAACATATATCATGTGGTGTAAAGACTTTAACTGAAGGTAGTCAAGTGACAGTAAGAACAACAGAGTGCGGTGAAGACTATGGATTGTACAAATGTCAAGCTGTAAATATTGCCGGCAAAGATGAGCACTTTATTAGGGTTTCACAGCTATGTAAGTGTGGAAATGTGTGAATATTATTAGGGAACGTATCCTACAAATGAATGTTTAAAGTAGTGGAAGTATAAACATTTATAACTGAAAGACACAACATTGAACTAAAGAATTTTTTCACCATTCAAATGCAACTATTCACTTCAGGTGGCATCAATACTGAAAATGTCGAGTTTATTTAGATAGGGGTTAGGTGCATTTTAAAGCTTGTGCATTTCATTTCAATTGTATATTAGTTCCACCAGGCCCTCCTAAATTCACGATACTAGACCATGATATCCAAGCATCATCAGTGAATGTAAGGTGGACCAAACCTGGTTATGATGGTGGAAATCCTGTTATTGATTACAAAGTACGAATCAACACAAACCCACCACAAGAAAAGGTGACAACAAGCACCCATACCTATTTCTATGGCCTGACAAAGAATACAAGTTACACTATTAAAGTTGCCGCGATAAATGTCGTCGGTTCTGGGAATATMTCTGAAGTGACTATAACAACAAAAAAGCAAGGTGCGTATATATTTTTATAGTTGATTTGTATATCAAGAATCAATGTTTGATTGAGTACATAATTTCATCGTGTTTGGTAAGTAAATCTAATTTAATCGTTTATTCTGTTCGGAAAAATCTTGTGACTCGAGAACTTATGAACTAAGTTTCTTTTGAAGGTAGACCAACTATCCCAAAGCTGATGGTAGTGTTGTACACCAGCAGAGACTCCAAACTGTCAGTGGTACTGCGGTGGACAATGCCTCATGACAATGGGGGAAGAATAACAAAATATACTATTTACATGAAAGAGGTCCAAACGCARTGGGAAAAAATTGCTGACATCTTTGATCCATCTCAACTGCAATATACAGCGACGAATAATATCGTTGATGGAAAGTCATACGTGTTTATGCTTACTGCATGGAACAAGTATGGAGAAAGTGCGAGGGATGACGCAAGTGT